CAACAGATTGGGGGGCGGGGGGGGGAGGCAGGGGGCCAGCAGCAGAGCTGCAAATGGGGCATGGACAAAAAGCAGAGCAACAGATTAGGCAGGAAGCACAGAGCAGGAAGCAAAGCAGCAGATCAGGCAGGGGAAAGGGATCAGAGTGGCACTCAAGAGGGTGTGGAGCTTGATTTGTGAACCACAAATGAAGCTCCACACATCTATCAAAGAAGTTATCTCCCACTTTGGTAGAGGAGGGCAGTTCTGAGGCTTGGACAAAGGCCAAAGGGGCAGAGAAATGTATAGCCTTCTTGTAGTTGCCTTTGCCAAGGCCCCTCCATATTGAGCTTCAGCCCCTTCCTGAGCTATTCCAGGTCTGGGTTCCCTTTCCCCACCTCTCACCCCAGACCTGCCAGTGGCTGCTCTATCCTAATCATGCTGCACATCAAGCTGGCTGTGCCCAATTTCAGATTCAGGAGGAATCTCCGCTGCTGATTAAGCTGAGACCCCATCTCGCACTGTGTTCTCCCCTTGCACCTGTGCTGCCTGCATTCCCGTGGACTCCCCTGTCTCAGAGCTCTTTAGCTTGCAGTAGCAGCTAAGCTACTCTTAATTCTCTTTAACTTTTCTCTGGGAGTCATCTGCCTGCTGATAGCTCCATTCTCCCTCTGCAAACAGGACCTTACCAATAAAACTAATTTCCAGCCACCCTATGGAGAAGCAGAATTTTTATCTGCTGCCGTAGCTACCAGTTTAATATTTCCCTAAGTTCCTCTGCTGCCCCCTGCTTGGTGTACAATCTATCTAGCCCCAGGTCTTCTGACTTCTTTGGCTCTTCTGCCTTTGGTTAATACCCCACAGTGGTCACAGCTCTGTTTGTTCCTCTTCCCTCATTAACCCTTTCCAGCCTTCCAACTCTATTCATGGGCTTATCTGCTTGAAGAATTTTACCAGCATCATTATTTATACTGGTACAACTTCCTAAGTATACCCTTTAGAATGAGTGACTGCTTCCAAACTAACTTGTGTGCATTTGGTTGGGGGTATACATTAATCCAAAAGCAGCTGATCTACAGGACTTGGGCAGGGGGGCAGCTGTGCTCCAGGACTGCCCACTGCCTGATCCTGATGATCTGGGGCTCAAACCAAGTGTCCAAACTGAGACGTGGGGCTGCCCTCTTCCTGGTCCTCAGGATCCAAAGCTTGAACAGAGTGCCCAAAATGGAACCAAAGCCTACCACCTGCCCAGATCAACTGATGAAATGTGGAACACCTTTGTGGCTGGTTTGCCATTTTCTCTTGCCATAAATTTCTTGCACATGAAATATGTTACAATTTAACACCAAAAGTGTTAATTCCATGGTAAACGTAATGTCTGCCAGGGGCTGTAGAGGCTTCTTTTTAACCCAGGACACAACAAGCAGTCCAGCTGTCAGTTTTAGGCATGCTTATTAGACTGGCTCCATTAAACTTTTTCAGAATTTATCATGGATGAAATGGAACTGAGAGGGTGAGGCATTTTTCCACAGATCCCAAGCCGGTCTTAGGCAATGCAGACATGAACCCTAGTGTCCACTGTAGACTTATCCCAGTATAACTATACCAGCGAATAGCTCCAAATGCATAGTCTCAAGGACACTTCTCCAGTTCTTGCTCACTCTGCCCCTCCACAGAGCTTTCTCTAGTCCAGTGGATTTAGAAATTAGACTGTGGGACAGGTCCACAAAAATTTTGGGGCACCAAGCCTTCCTCTAGAATCAGTGACTAGGAGTCAAGTACCTTTGTGGATCCAGCCATGCATTTATAGCTTAGTAAAGTGTCTTAGTAACTTACTTTGACCCTGTTTGCAGTAGAGTTCCTTCCTCTGTTCATAAAATGAGGCCTACATGGTAGTAGGCTACTGCCCTGTCCAAACAAAAAAGCAGACTCTCTCCTGCTCTACAGTCACTTCATCTGCTCCTTAACTCTTATTTGAATCCAGGTCACTAAAAGGGGAGTTTAGAAAAACTATCATGTCACCTGCAGCCCTCCAGGGACAGTAAAGATATTCAGGTCCTCTGTGATGGGAGTCTGACAGATGAAAACTCTGCCCTGAGATCTATCTGGACATTTGTGAGTTGAGATAGGTAGAACCAACGGCAAAGCTCTACCCTTCACAGTCAGAGTTAAATCACAGGTCTGGGAGCTATGAGAGCTGGGTTCTAATCTCAGTTCTACTATGACATGCTGAATGGGTTTAGGAAAGTCACTATCACTCTGCCCATCTGTAAACTGGCATTACAAGCATTAATTACATTTGCAAGGTGCTCAGATAGATGTATGTCATTGTTTGGCATCATCCTGTGTCTCATGAGGGATTTTAGCATGCACGAGTCTCCCATACAATAGAAAAGTATTGCTTCCCTCCCCAGATGGTGGGTCTGTGCCTGGCACAGTAAACGGGGTTTTGTTGAAGTCATTCTCCCCTGGGCAGGAA